TAAAAGTAAAAGTCTCTGAGAGCAACAGATATAGTAAAGCAGAGGACGATGTTAATGTGAAACATGTCTGAGCAGAATCTGAGACAGGACACCAGAGGACGGGAAGGACACACACACACACCTTGAAAAGATGTGAACACACCGAAGAGGACTCGCTCTCACATCCCAGCCGCCCTGCACTTTGCTTCATCTTAAGGTCATGTTTTTTTTTTTTAAATCTATCTTTTATTTATTTTTTAAATACTCCCGTGTAATGCGTTAGAATGTGATCATAAGTTATCTTATGTGCTTATTGTGTTTGTCTTAAAACTGAAATGTATTTTATGGAAGAAATTAATAAATGAATTTTTACTTTGAAGCAACAATGACCACTTGATGTACCTTGTAATTATATTATAATTAATTAAAAAAAACTGATGATTACAATGCATTATAACCGTGAGAGTATTGCATTATGATGATTATAAAGTATTATGATACTTGACCATACGAGTCATTATAAAATGTTTTATGGTTGTTATAAAGCATAATGAACATTCATGAGTGCCAGTAACCGTAATGATACAGGGCTCTTAACAAATTATAATGCATTATAGGTATCTTTATGATGCATTATAGACATGTGTCATAAAAAGTGCCTGTTTTTTTTATTCGGTTGCAGCTTTACATCATGTTTAAACTCTTCATATTTACCAACTGTTTGTTCTATAACAACATACTATATATTCATAGTATCTAAACTGACATATTTCATTGTTTGGTCATCTAGGTGCTCTGTGAACTCTATCTTGCACTTCATGTGTCTTTATGTATTAGGTGGTCCGTATATAACCTGTCCGTAGAATCAATATGTGCACGGTATATGCAACAAAAAAAGCCACGTTGCATATAATCATTCCTGAGACATGTTTTTTTTTTACACAACTACAGTGACTGAGCAGAGTCAACAATATTGATCCCCTTAAAACATTTTAAAGTATTGCAATTGGTTAAACATGTCATAATACCTCCCATACATACAGTTTATGACAAGCATCTGATTAAAAAAAATATGTACCAAGCAAAAATGAGTTAGCAGAAACTTAGAAACATGTTGTGTCTGCAGAATGGAACAGAGACGAGTGGATGGTCATGTAAAACCACTGGACAGGAAACAGCTGGTTAGCACCAGATGGTACGGTGCTTACATGTTCTATAGACTAGCTTAAAGTGGACCTATCATGCTATATTTGAATAATATAGTGTAGGACCATACCTACTGTATATAAGGCATATTTATACTTTTTTTTTTTCAAAATACCAAACAGATCATGCATTTTAGCCATGCCTCATTTCGCTCAATTTGAAAAATGTTAGCTCTGTTTTTGCAAGGGTTGATTCTGTGAGAACAGCACCATCTAGAGGCCTGGCATATGTACTACAGCGTCTCCAGCGCTTTCGAACGGCAATGCCGTGGTTGTCTCCTCCTGATTGGTGGAGTTAGCCCAATAGCCGTAGCGCCACCGTCCTGACGTCAGGACAGTGTTCAAATCTGGATCAGTTTTTATCAGATCCGTTGCAGCCCCTTTTTTTAGAGATTTGGGTATGGAGGAAAATAGAGAGGGTTGTGTTTTCTGACACTTGGTGAGTTCCCTGGAACACCGGGGACACATATTCATGTATAAAAGACGTACAAAAGTGCATTTTGCATGATAGGTCCCCTTTAATGTAAGGCAGGAAAAAAGTCTGTTTCCAAGTGGCACACAGCTGCCTTTGATTTGGTCGTTCTTTCTGGTAACACGGATCACAAAATAAACCCCTGCTGATGCTATGATTCAGTTTGTAACTAAAAGTGTCCAACTACAGACGGCGACAATGTTTGCTGATGTTCAAGATCAGTTACGGCGCACATAAATGATATTTAATAATGTTTTATTATTAGATTTTATACAAGGGACACAAAGTCTTAAAAAGCCCATGTTCCCTGTCATGTCTGCTGGTTGATCTCATTGAAAGAAACAGTGAAGGGAGTTCATGGGTGTTTCTCAATGTTGAGGAAGGATGCTCCAGAGCCACTATTTCAAGCATACTACGTCATCGAGTGCCGCCGAAGGACTGTTCCAATGTCCAGCATACTTGGAATTCTACCGAGGGTGGCGTACTTCGTAGCGAGAAATTTCGAGGCTGCACTCCGCGGTCTTAACATCCCCACAATGCTTTGCGCACGGACCAATTTCCAAATCTTTGGCGGAAATCGCGCTCCATTTAAGGCGGGGCCTCGCGTATGACGCACACCTGCACACCTGTTAGCCTGTTCCACAATTCTTCGTTTTCCGAGGCTAGGAAGGATTCTTGCCTCGCTTCTGAAGCAAGTGACTCGGAAGACATGTGCTACCAAGCAAGCGTCCTCGATATTGAGAAACACCCCATGTCTACTCCTCAGCAGACAGGACAGTTCATGGAGTTTATGGTGACTTTACACAAACAATTACAACCATGTGGACTGTGAAAAGAAATCAAAACATAGAACATTTTTGACAAAATGAGCTTGGAACTGTACGGCCTCTTCTACTCTTTTTTTTTTTCAGGAGATTACTACAACCCATGGAACAACTTTCACATTTTCTAAATTCGTATTTCTTCGAATATTTTTCAGGAATTTGTCTTTGGCATAGGATCCACTTGTAAAACTGCATATTTATAAATATCTAAATAGAAATATTAGAGGATTAACAATTCTAAAGTCACCAAATTGCAATGGTAGTTTATAAATTATGCAATTTGCATGTCACAAGTAAAAATGTATGTCTCTGACACAAGTCAACATAAATAAAGACATGTGGAAGGTAATCAAATGAACTTAAACCGTAATGATTACAGGGTATTGACAACACATTCATCAAATCATACAAAATATGCATGCAAGAGGGAGAGTGAAAAGTTACAGAGAAAAAAATAAACATTAAATACATGTCATGAACCATAACAATCTGATGATTTCAATGGAAATACTGGAAACTGCATTCAAAAGCCTTCTGTCATGAGTTTGATTGTACAGAGGAATAATCACAGTTTGAGGAGTGAGACATTCAAAACTTCAAGTAATAAGATTGGTTGCAAAGCAGCATCAGGCTGCTCTACGCTTCTGATTTAGAGGTAAGATAATCAGCTGCGATTGACTGATTTAACCAGATTTTATCCAGATTTTTTGCTAATGACTTTGTACTGTAGCAGCAAGCCCAGGGAACCTACACGACTGATGGTCTTAAAATCACAGAAAGAAGGTTAGGACATAAAGAAAACAAAGGCTACAACTTCTCCCGAGGCGAGTGAGAGTGAAAAAAGAGCTACTCTTGGACCCGTTCTCAAATACTGCAGCCGGTATTCATCTCTATGACCTATTCATGATAAAAGAACTGATCCACAATGAAGCAGGCTATATATAATGAAGAAAATGAAGAAGACTGCCTTTGGAAACACTCTGCTTGTGCAGCATTTGAAAACTGGTTGATCACACAGCCAGTTTTTTTTATTAATTAAATGACATGGCAAAGTCTGCACGCGCCCTTCTTCTACAGTATGTCCATTTATAGTTTGTTGTAACTATTTTTGTACAGTCAAACATTTATTCAAAATGCTTGGAAACAACTGGATTATGCCATTATGCGACATAAGCATGTATGCACAACTTTCATGCAAGCTCATTGTCCTCTTAATTTAATCAAGTACATACATGCATTATTTCCTGAAGATTCTTGTGCATGTGTACATAAAAAAAAAAAACAGCTACTAGATAAGGAATCGATGAGTTGAGATAGATTTAGTCCACTGCAAAAACTTTTGCAAAAAGCAACAAGATCCATGGATTTAAAGTAACAGACCCAACTTAACTGCTGTAGAAAACAGTCTTAAACAGACCAACATCTCCCCTTACTGTATGTTACTGATGACAGAGGCTTTTGAATGCTTTGTATCATGAGCAAATCAGAAACAAGACAGAAGTCTATGACATAACAATACAAGAAAAACCTTCACACACCATGAGAGAGAAGTAACACGGCATCATGGAATTAGACAGCTATGACTGAGCTCAGGTCAAACACCACACAGTGTGTACAGTTTCAAGAAACAGAGTAACTCCCCCCCACTAGTCACAGTAGATCTGAGGCAGCTGCTGACATTATGTGCAAGTTTCTCTATTTCCCGTAGGAGGCACTATTATAAATACGGAACGTCTGAAGTGTATTAAACACACATCCAGCTCTGCTACAGACGCACCTGACAGCTATGTACAGTGGCCACAACAGACATTCAGAAGTACAGGATATCATGAATATGGAAAGAAAGTAGGAGAATTTACAGATTAAGAGTTTGAGAACTTTTCTTTGAGAACACTGAATATGTGCTGTGTGTGTTTGCAGAATATAAAAAAAACAGATTTTGCAGCATCTAACTCAATTTGATTACTTCAAATTGATATACTATTTTTTTTCCCTTCTGAAGGTGTATTATCCACAAAAAAAGGAAGATAGGAATGAGTAATATCACCTTCAACTGCCTTAAAGGTATTTTAAAAACATAAATATGTGCCCCCTCTGTGTTAAGAGATTGAGAAAGTTTCAGGAACAAAGATCCTCTCTCTTTTTGTCCTGATCCATCTATATAAAACCTGTCTGAAAATGAGCATTTTGGCAACTTTGTGATGTCACAATGTTTTTGGGTTGATCAACCATTAGCCAATATCCAACCAAGGTAACACCCGCCCACCTTATCACCTGAATCTCCTCCTAGAGCACCATTGTTTTGTTTTTTTAAACCAATCACTTCCATAGGGGGGCGTGGCGGCTCATTAGCATTTAAAGCTACAGACACATAATCAGCCATTTCGGAACAGGGCTGAAACAGAGGGGATTATGGGATGCTACAATGATCTGTTTGGTATTTCAGCCAAACACTTTAGAGACATGTTTTGTATATATATATATATATATATATATATATGTATATATATATATATATATATATATATATATATATCTGAGACCGATAATATATTGTTGAAAAAGAGTTTAATAGGGGACCTTTACAGATTAAAACCATTCATCAAATGAATCCTCAATTTCTGTTTCATTATGTTTCTGTGGAAAGTAGCATTATTTACTAAGGAAACTTGTTTCAACCTATTTTAGTGAACACAGTGCAAACACAGAGTTACGGTTTGGAATGCAGCTCAGGTGAAAGGCTAATCGTTCAGGCGACAAGGGGCTTTAACTGGAGGTCGCAGCGACGAACAAACTCCCCCTCTGCCAACGTGGTACTGAGTAACTTCCCTTACTAACCGGCTACACACACACACACACACACACACACCTTCTAAACACACCAGCAGCAGAATGACGCAGCACTCAAAGGGGACAAGGACAATCAAGATAAGTGAGTGTCTGCAAGAACAACAGCTCGTTGTATCTCTCACGTCAGCCCTCTCCTGAGAAAACGATTTACCATACCAACATTATTATATCATCACCCAACTGTTTACAGTCACAAATCAGGTTAAAATCAAGTCCTTTATACCTGTGGTTTATCTTTTCAATATGCAATCTCTACCGTTTCTCAGCTGTCAAATTATTGTGTGTCTTTTTTTAAGGGTTTGAAGGGAGGCACACATGATGCTATATTTTAAGTAATAAAAAAAAAAAATCTAATGTAATTTTTGTGACCAGATAATCTCATTTCACAAATGTCTGTATAAATTCTACTCCAGAAATCTGTAGGCAACTTTAATGTCTGTCTGAGCTGAACCAGCTACAGAAAGATGGTGCAGGTGCATGCATATTATGCAGAGAAATGTCCATGCTAACATTAAGCTACCAGCTGGCATCAGAAGCTAACCAATCAGCTCGCTAAAACTGACCAGAAAGCTGAGATACTTTGCACTAATCTGACATCGACTCAGGTTAGCTTTCAGTTTTTGGGGTGATTTGTCTTTTCAGGGTCCAGCATGTTGACATCGAAAAAGCTAAAAAAAGCTGTATACCTAAAATCCCTTCAGACTTCACAGCTGAATAAAAAAAAAAAGACAACACTGCTGCACTCCAGTCCAAGTATTCACAGCTAACCTTCATGTTAACAATATTCTCCTTTGACCCAAACGTTCCCATAAATAAAATCCAGAAACCCATTCCGTTACGTAGCTGTTTTCATAGTGTACTACGGCACATCCTGCATCTGTATTATTGTTATCAGCAGTCACAGTAGCAAACACCATAAAATAAGTCAGAATGTAAATATTAAAAGACGGCTGTAGTGAAACTCCCCACACACACCATTTCTTTTCCTTTTGGTTAAAATAAAAGTGAATTTCAAATGAACCCCTAGTCCGATAAGCCTTAGCTTGGATTTCTGATCAAATCTATTAAAGGGGGTGATGGAGTCTAACCTGTTCAGTACAGCCGATCCTAAACACTAAGGCCACTAGAGTTCATTTGCAATTCAGAGTTAACTTAAAAAGCAGAGTCCCATTTCCCCCATCACACATAAAAACAGAAGAACCTTCCCACACAGTAACCATTCGTAGTTATAAATAATCCTTCACATTATTTATGTATAAATATTCGAGGGCAAGGTAACAGTGGTGGTGTTGTGGTGAGAAGGGGGGGGGAGAGAGATCAGTCTATGTGGGGGACAGGCGCGCCTCCTTTTTACGTTTTTATCTCATTCGGCGACTTTGTCCATCCTATAGACTACAGTGGTGGAGCTGTCCTGGTGCGACTCGGTGGGGGCCACCTTTTTCCAAAGGGGGGCTTTCAGAGCTAGCTCCTGCTGGAGGCTGTCGTAATCCATGGGTCCGAAGAAGAACTGCTGTTTCAATCGACACGAATAACAAATTAGTCTGGCTCCTACTGTTTGTGTTTTCTTTGTGTGTGTATACATTTTTATATATATATATAAATAAAATGTTTGTGGTGTGTAAATGGCATTTAGTTTGCTGATAAATCTTTTGAAATACCTACTGAATCCCTGATAGGAAAGTGAGTGAAAAATAACTCTGTTGATCCCATTTTCAGGGGCTTGTATTTTGTGCAGCGAACATTCCACTTTAACATTAGGCTAACAGCTAGCATCAGAAGCTAACTGTTATCAGATCCTGGATCTCAAACTCGGACCAACAAGAAGGCAGCAAAACTTTTTCTGATAACTGGCTTCCTTTCTTAAAAACAGGTGAAAATGTCAGGATTATTGTTCTAAATTCATTATTTATTTTTATTTCATTTTTTGTGTTCTTGGTAGTTGTGCACTTCATCTTCTTTTGGTCAAAACGAGTATTTCAACATCCAACACTTGATAAAAATGATCCTGACCAAACCTTTGAGGTGACAGGAAAACATTGATCAACAGAATTGTTTTTTTCTCCCTTGCCTCCCAGGGGTTATGTTAATACCCGAGCTAAACCCATTTAAGGTTTAAGGGGTTTCCTTATTTAGCTTTAGGAACGGCAGGATCGAAACGAAGAAAGACTTTGGCTTCAGTTTTTTTATCTGTGTGGGCCTCTCTGTATTTTTTTAACCGAGGTATAAATGGCCAGCTTTGTCATACACACTTGGTGCTAACATGCTTATATTGAACCCTATGCAAAGCAAACTGAATGGTATCCAGTGACCAAACTCAGAAATATGCTTTGTTTGTCTTAAAAACACCTGCAGCAATCTCCATGGGAATTAAAAGAGAGGTAGCACAGTTTAAGACAGAGGAAAATCCCATTTCGCTGTCTATATAAATTGACAGGTTTTTTCCGATAAAGATGTACTTTTTGTACAGTTATGGCAATCAAAATGTAAGCAAACCGCAACAAAACAGACGCAATGAGCTGTTCAATGTGAACTCCAGCAAGCTAAGCATCAGACGCGTTCTTGGAGAGAAGGAGCCACTCAGTGTGTTTGAGGAGGGAAATGGGTGCAGCTTTGTGGGTGTGTTCCTCACAACGTGATGCCGCTGTGTGTCCTTACCCGCTGGTCCCCTCCTTCTCTGCGGGGGTCGTGCTTCTTGGCAAAGTGTTTCAGGTTGTCGTAGTTGTGGAAGTTAAAGAGCTCCACCAGGTCCTGGAATGAAAAGGCAGATAGATAAATCGGAAGGATGAATACAATATGAAATGTAATTCTGTTTCTAAATACCAATAATTTCAGTTAAGAAACAGATTAAAACAGCACTAGCTGTTATCTGATTACATGCACTGTTCACTGACTAAAGCAAAATTAATTATGAATTTCTTTCAATCCATTTCTTAATTAAGTTTTGTGTTACCTTTCTATGCTATTCACTAATATAAAAGTTCCTTAAAAAGTTATATTGTCAAAATCCAAAATGACATTGAATCTATAATTATTGTAAGTCTAGAGAAAGCCATTTGAAGACTATATGTGTGCATTCTGCAATAAGGCAGGTGACTGAAGATGTTTGAGATACAATTACTCCAGAATGCCTCTTTGTCATACAGTAATACACTGGTATGTAAACATAGAAGTCTGTGTTGTTACAGGCCATGCAGTGATCTACTGTCCTGTACCGCCCTCACATACCGTGCAGAACTGGATTCCTCTCACTGAGTTCCCCATCTTGTCCAGAGGAGGAGACCAGCACATGATGCCCATCACATTGGGAACAACCAGCAGGATCCCCCCCGCTACTCCAGACTTGGCTGGCAGACCGACCTACAACAGGGAGAAGAGTTACACAACAGAACCGCAGCTGAGTGTATCTGCAGTAGCAACATAGCAACAGTATTTTGCTGGAAAAGGAGAGGATGAGGGTTTGTTTGTTGTTCGGTTGAAATTGAACAGCGTTTCGAATGAGTATTCGAAACGCATTTGCCGTTTTGGCTACGTAAAGTGAAGTTGTGTTGTCTTTGCTGGCTTTTGCTGCCGCGAGTTTTGGTCGCACAGTGATGATACTTATACCATTGGAATCTGTGGAATCTCAGCGTGCAGATCCGATGATGCTAAGTGCGTTAGCACTCTTTCGCTTAGTGCTAATTCAGAGGCTCGGCGTTAGACTTGTGTTTTGTTTCTGTAAAAATTGTTCATATCGTCTGATAGCTGAGTTTCTTCCCGTTAAGTGGGTATGACACATTCATAGTTTGTTCAATGTTAAGAAGCCCTCAGACACTGTTTTTGCAAGATGTTGCTTGTTGCCCCGGGGGCGGGGGCTCCCGGGCTTAACAGGTTAAGAAGTGAAATCATATTGACAAAATATGCAAAGAGGGATATCAATAAAGAGTAGATGTTACTGTTGTTATTGTCAAAACGAACTGCTTGAAATCACGATGAGAATAGAAACATATTTTCACACATGGCTCCCACTCTCTACTTTTTTGGCACCAGGAGCGGTCTAATTAAAATGTGCCATCTCATCAGCCCTAACACCTCGGCTCGGGCAGACCATGTGATATGACAGCTATGCTAGCTAGAGTTAAATACAAGCATGTAATGGTAACGGCCCTTATCCGTTATTTTTGAATGATTTCAGTATTGGTCAAAGAGACAGACATGTACAATTAGTGCATGACACTAGGTCATGACATTCATCACCTTGAAGGACATTATTATTTAAATCAGGAAATTCTGAAAAACAGTAAATCAGGTATATTTTTTTAAGGAATTGTGTGGAAACAGCAAACATTGGGATATTTGATTGTTCACACTATTTACATTATGCACACTCTTGTTTCTACTTTATTAAATATACCTGTACAGAACAGTCCAATACAACTGTTCTGCCATAACGCTATTTTGGCATGTCAGGACATAGCAGATATAATCACAAAAAAGCAGAGGAACTATGTGAGCCTAAAACAGACAAGGCTACAGGTAAACACAACTGTAGTTAATAAACTCTCTCATTATGTCCAAAACACTCAAATTCAGTTTACAGCTCTGGCATAACATCAAAACTCTTTGAACATTTTTACACAGGACCAACCCTGCCATCACTCACAATTATGATGATAATAATAATTAGTAGCTTTCGTTTCTATGTCTGGATTGTAGCCTGCAAACGCATATTTGGAAGGATTTATAAAACAGTTTCAAAAACTAAAACGAAATACTTTTTAAGACGGTGACTAAAGAGCACGTTGTTAAAGAGTATAAAGTACAAATAGTAATGCTTAAAACGCGGCCAGACTTCACAGGTTTGACTCCTTGGCCATTTTAAACAAAACATATGTCTCATACTATACTTGTGATCCTATCCTTTTACTTACATGGAAAGCAAACTGTCCTGAGAAGTCGTACATGCCGCAGGAGTGCATCAGACTCAACGTGTTCCTCACCGCCTCGGGGCTCAGCACACGTTCCCCCGTGATGGGACAGATGCCGCCGTTAGCCAGAGTGGCCGCCATGACACTGGCGCTCTCACAGGTCACCTCAATGGAGCAGAGCTGCAGGTTCACACATAAGGACAATTTGTATAATTTCTCCATCAACATTTTCTTGCACTGCAGAGCACCTTTTGCGTCACGCCACATGGAAACTTGGTGGTGGGAGAACAGGCGAGCAGGAATGAGAATGACGCTGGTGGTGACAGAGGAATTCTGTCCCACCGTCTCAGGCGGAGAAATCGGTGGAGCTGCAGCTGAGAAAAGATTGTGTGTGTGTGTGTGTGTGTGTGTGTGTGTGTGTGAGGAAGTCCGCAGATTGGTCCATTTGGATCAATGGGTCCATTTGAGTATGGGCACGTCACTGTACCCAGGAAGAAAAAGAGAAATCTCCAACGAGGCGTTTTGGGGCAGCATAGACAGGTCTTTTCTGTGTTAGAGTTTTACTCGCTACAGGGTGTAATTTGAGGGTTTGTGACTCTGCAGAACGTTTACATGCAGAAAAACTTTCATAACACACAAGGGGATGGGGTAGTAACCGGAAAAGTATGAAATGGGACCTTTAAGGTTTTGATGAAAATGTAATCAAATGCTACTGTATGTCCCTCACAGCAACCGGTTTAAATTGGCTCTATTCTCTCAATAAAAACACAGAAAAGAAAGTGTAGAATGGTATTCTGCCCTCATTTAGAGTTTCAGACACCTCTGAAACCAAATCTATGTACTGTTTATTGCAGGAACAGTTTTTAATAGCTACTGTACGAGTAGTTTACAGGGAAGTTAACATGATGAGAACGGAGAGTTTGACAGAAAGAAAGTGATATGGGGCTAAATATGGTAGAGAAGCAGAAAGTCGATCAATCCAGGATCTCTGACAGTTGGAATCAATAGAGTAGGAAGAGCAGGCAAACAACATTTGTGATGTACAAAAAAAATGAATTGGACTTGATATTGATACTGAATTTAGAGAAAATGGAGAGGAAACCAAGGCTAAACTTACTTGAAAGTAGAAGTCCAGAACAGATGTCATGTCTGTCCCGTCTGGGAAACACTGCAGAGAAACAATCAAATGAACTTTCCCCAAACACTGTGAATTTCCATGTCACACAATGTTTACTGAGACTAACAGGTATGTCTAATAAAAGCAGATTCCAAATAGGCACATGCAAACTAAAAAGATTATTATATTTAATTGGGGGACATATACATTAAGATTTTCTCATAGGCCTCTGGCAGTAACTCACACCTTCTCTTTTTTGTTCAGTCTTACAATTACTGTTCTTCAGCTTTGCAGGGCAGATAGATATCAATAGAGTGACAGAAGTATAAAAAGTCAGCAACGCCCTATGACTCATCCAAGCTCAAACCTTTTTCTCCTTCAGGTAGTAGCCGATGGCAAAGTTCCTGTCCCCTGACTCACGCTCCGACTGGAATCTGTCACACAAAGATCAGAGCACTCCCATTAAAATAGGGGAAGGAAATATTTGCAGTGTGTGTGTGTGTGTGTGTGTGTGTGTGTGTATTTGCACTTGAGTGTTGGAATTCTGGCCCCCCTCCACTCATGTCTCCAGTACATACAAAGTCCTTATGCAATCTATCATGTGATGATACACTGCAACATGAGTCTCTGTGCTTGCTCTTTTCTGTACACATTGTTAGCATATGGCATCATCATAAATCATGCTAGTGACCTTTACAATACAGACAGCATTTCGTCCGTCATAAATAACACATCATATCACCTAATGAATGTAAGTAATAACAAATAACTGCTGACTTCCAACCTTTACTTTTGTGACCAATTTGCTAATTGCCTACAAAGAGACCAAAATAACTATAAAGAGATGCCATACAGCTTCAGAGATACACAAAGAGACTTCTGAACGACTATGAATAAGGTAAAAACATATAAAGTGACACAAAACGACTACAAAAAGACACAAAAAGGACCTAAAAAAGACTAAACACAGAAATAAAACTACCTCAAAGACCCAAATCGACTACTAAGAGACACAAAACAACCACAAACATACAAAAGAGCTACAAAAGGACACACAACTAACAGAGTTTGTGTCTTGCGCCTGTGTAGGAGAGATGGTAGGCCCTTCTGCATGTCTGTGACCAAGGACCATATTTCATAATCCACGTGACATATTCATATTTCACATTCAGACGACCTACACAAGTTGGCTGTGGAAATACAACGCTTTCCATTGCATTGAGCACAACATGCCTGATGATAGACAGATCCTCCAGTCATTGTTGTTAGTGATGCTGTTGACATCCATTGCATTTTGTTTGCTGCCCAAACCACAGATGCAGATTCCAGATTAAGTTTTTAATCCGTCACTGAGCCAATTGGCCTTTAGAGCTCGTTATCGAAGAGCTGATTAAAGACACCTGCCGAGAGGTGACCAATGGTGGGGATTAAAGGTTCAACACGCTACAACGTTTTGAGCCATACAGAGTAGCAAGTGTTCTGCTTTGTGTAGTGAGTGAAGGAAGATAACTTTGATAACATCAACTCATGATTTAGAGGGACTTACGTGGCGTTGCTGAAACCCACATACTCGTTTCCCGCCATACGTTTCAGAAAGTTCATGACCTGGAGGAAAGCAGAGTGAAAGTTGATACATTGTTATTTACATTTTTAAAAAGTCATTACAGCCCCTTTAATGTCTAGCTGTGAGCAGTTACTACATTTTCTTGTATACTGCATGGTGGTATAGCAGCACACTTGTTAGTATGCATAATCACACTTCATTGTGTCCTTTCTCTAGAGTAAACACTATGTACTCAACATCTACTCAGTTACTGTGTAGTAAGGCATTTAGCACAGCTCATAAGCTTTATTAGACAGTCTAAAGAGGTCTATTAAATACACAATAATAAAACCGCATCTACTCATCCTAGGGGACTCTTCATAAGGTACATAAAAGTGAATCAATACTTTTTACTTTAATATTTCACCCGGTATGACTTCTAATACTTACATAATCAAATCTTTCTGCGTTGCTTGCACCTTGCTGTGGAGAGAAGAAAATAATCAGCAGTTAGTACAATTCATTCACAGAGGGATTTTTTTGCAGAGGACAAGCACA